CCCTATTTGGTAGATTCCTTCCATTCTCACTGGTGTAGATCTGATTATTTTGACCGCTGTCTAGAGTATCTTTTGTTAGTCTGTGTAGGGTTGGCTTTGTCGTGTTGGAATTCTTTTGTTATTCTTTGTCATGGAAGTATTTCACTTCTCCATCCAACATGATATAGTATAGTATCATGTGTCCTTGTTATTTTGTATAGTAGTCTGGGCTTGACTTTGTTTTCATAGAGGACTTGAAGTACTCTGCTCCATGCTTTTCTTGAATTCATGGTTTGTGAAGATAACTCTGCCTTTGTTGTGATGGATTTTCCTTTATATGTGATCTTTTTGCTTTCTCTAGTGGCTTTCAGCATACTGTTATTGTGCTGAAGTTCTGGGACCTTCACTATTGTGTGTTTCAGTGTGCTTTTAATTGGGTTGATGTCATTTGGAGTTCTGTATGTTTCCGTTTCCTGAATGTCAGATTGTTTCCCCATTTTTTGGAAGTTTTCTGTTATTACCTCTCTCCATATTCTTTTTGTATCATTATATCACTCCTCCTTTCTCATTGATGCCCATTAGTCTCACATGTTCATCTTTGCATCATCTTGCAGGTGATTAACTTTTTCCTGCATCCTAGTTATTTTTAAGAGATCCTTTCTTACCTTTTCACTAGCTGCACCAGTGTCTTCAAGATTTGAAACTCCATCTTCACTTTCACTCAATTGGTTTTACAAGTTTTGATTGAAATTTTAAGTTCCTCTATATCTCTTTGAATCTACTTTATGCAATCTATTTCTTTCTTGTGTTGCTCATGCAATGATTCCATCATTTTTCTAATCTCTATTTTCTATCAGTGTCTTCTTGACAAGCAGTAATTAATTCTTTCATTATAGTTATTCTTTCCTTTTTTAGTTCAGAGATTGATTCTTTCTTTCTTTTCTTTTTTTTTTCTCCGAATGCCTCCAGGGCAGGTTTGACTGGCTTGAGTTGTGGGGATCGAACCACAGCAACCTGAGCCTGACTGCTTTGTTGAAGCAGCCACTTAAAGAACTGTGCTAAGGGGCAGGCGCACTCAGAGATTATGTCTGATCTTACTTCCTCTATATGTTTCTGCAGTTTATTTTTTACATTACATGCTATTAATTCAGATATTTCTATTTTATTTCAGAGGTAATTTCTGATCTGAATTACTCTATACCTTTCTGCAATTGTTTCTTTAGTTCACATTCTATTAATTCAGACATTTCAGCTGTGTGATTCCCAATTTCTTCTGTGCTTGTGTCTTCTGCATTTGTTCTGGGTGGACTCTGTATCTGCAGTTGCATTTTGCTCCTTGTCCTTGTCATTTTGTATAGCACTCTGACCTTTGGTGTAGAGCTTTGTTGCAGTTATAACCTTAGCACCTACTGAAATTCTTACCCAAGAAAAGTTACATGATTGAGGCATTTACAGTTTTGAATTGCAGAACTGCAATAAGGAACTCTAATAATTGGTAATGCCATTTTGCAGTCTGCAAACTTTTGTAACTAATGGCTTTGGATTTTAGACAGTAAGAGCAATCATCATGTCTGTATGGCTAAGCAGATATTAAATTGGTAATTTGTATTTAAGTTAGTTCTGCTAAATTCTTTCTGTTCGCCTCCCCTTAATGTACATAGTGTTTTGCAGGCAGACTAGTTCACCCCAGTTAACTTTTGTGCCTTCTCTCAGTGAATGGAGAAAAAGAAAGGATGCTCTTTTAGATCTGGGTCTAACAAAGTGTCTCAGCTTACCGAGTGCATATCTACAAAGTTTGAATTAATCCAGTTGTGCGTGGCTTGGGTCTGGTGGCTGTGCTCAGCTTCTTTTTGCTGCAGCCCTTGGAAGTCAACTTGCTGTGCCCCTCTGACAAGATGTTCTGCTCCTGGATTAGCTCGGTGGTTCTGGCCCCTGGCCTCTCTGCAGGGACTTCAGCTTCAGAGTTTCACACCAGGCCTGTATGCCAGGCCTGGGCTTGATCTGGAGTGGTCCAGAGAGCAAGGACAGAATGATACACTTGCAAGCGGGCCTGGGCTGGGTCCAGAGGGATGAAGCAGGCAAGGGAGAACAAAGAAGCTGTCCCACACACAAGCCAGGCCTGGGCTTTGCTGTGCCAAGAGTTTGGAGGAAGTTCCAACTCACATGCTGGACCTGCGCTGGTTCTGGAGGGTTTCAGGTGGTCCCAAGAGCATGGCTGAAGGTCTCACTCACATGCCAGGCTTGGGCTGGGTCCAGAGGGACCCAGGGGGTCCAGGGGAGCATGGAATCTCTCCCACACACTAGCTGGGCCTGGGCTTGGGTTGTGTCTGGATGGGTCTGGAGATCCCGGTGGCATTCAGATTTTTTGAGACTTTGAAATCTAGCTTTATGTTTTCAAGTCTTCTTTCATGGTGATCATTATCATTGTGTACTTTTTCTCATAATGACCTCCCTACTTCCAGTGACTAACCAACACATATTTTGTTGTAATCTCAAATGAAAATAGGACTGCCTTTAAAATATTTATTCATCCAAGATTACAGATATAAAATTACCAAGGTAGATTGTTTCTTCCTGTGTTTAACCGATGTCTGCAGAATGAATGGAAAACATTTGTACATATATTAAAACATTGTATTATACAGTGTACTTTATGAGTTCATTGATTTTCTGCAGGAGGATTTTATGTTCTCTCCACACCAGTGATCTCACTATTCATATGAATCCAGTGGGAAGTTAACAGGAATATGAAAATACCTTAACAATGAAAGAAACATCATTCTAACCTTAATATACATATGACCCCTTGATTTGATGGTAATATATATTTGCTTGGAGAAATGCCAAGTTAATATTATTGTTTCAGTGTGCATTTAGAGACTGTGTTGTCTTAAGTACCCACTGTTTCTGGAATGAGGAACTTGGGCAAAGGGAAAGGATCAAACAAGATTGAAATGTATGGGCCGGGGAGATGGCTCAGTGGAATAAGTGCTTCCCTGCAAGCGCAAGGGTCTGAGTTCAATGCCCGGTTCAGAAAAAAAAAAAAAAGATTGAAATGTAGATGTTATGGGCATAAAGGATCATCTACTGGATAACACAAACAACTTAGAAATTTTACCACAGTGAAATATGTTTTCATTGAGGCTACCCACAGTACTTTGGAATTGTAAGGAAGGAAAACATTACTTTAATTAGGGAGAGATCCCACATATGTGCTGTCATTCCAGATGGGATCCTAGGTCAAGTGGAAACTCCACCAACTAGAGCTTTCATAAGTGTGACTTGAAGTAGCTAATTTTGATATAGTCATTTGCTTAACAATGGCTATGTGTTCCAGGCACAATTGTAGCTAATGAAGATATAGCAGTACTGCAAAACTGACAAAATCCAAACTGCCTTTCAACTCATATTCTGTAAGGATAAGCCTGCGAAAGAAACACATGTAGTTCATATGATTCTGTATAGTAAATAATCCTCAAAGGAAGAAAGGCCAGCTAATAGAGAGGTCCAGAGTTTGTGAGCATAATGTGCTACTGTAGGCAGACTGGTCATCTGAGGACACTGTACAGAACATCACCAGCATCACCAGGCAGCGGGCCATCAGTGAGACAAAGGAGCATCAAGTGTAAGGCTGCTGTAGGAACAAGCTTGGGGCACATTTAGAGAACAGGAAGCAGATCAATGAATGTTTAGATACATGGGGCAGGCTATAGGAGAAGGAGCAATGAAACAAGAATGGCCTTGCATAGCATGCCAAAAGGTTGTATTTTATTCTTGAATTAATCTATTGTATCACTTGTTTTAAAGTAAATATCATTGGAAAGACAGAAGACGATTTGGAAGATTATTTAGGGCAAGGAAAGACTGGAGACAAGCAAGCATGTAGGGGCAGTGGCCACGGGATTGGAGAGAACGATGAGCATTGGTGATGTCATGCCCTGACATCACACAAGAATGTAGTTCTGGGTGCAGGAGGTGGTCTGTATTTACTTCTATTTGGTTTATGTCAATATACCCAACCATTCAGTATACTATCCAGTACATCACAAGTGCTCAGTAAATATTGATTGTATGAATAGTAAATTTGTTGGCTAGCTATAAGTTTTGAGGTAAAATTACTGGGAAGTATATCTGAGGAGATATGAAGGACAGCACAATCTTTCTACTTGCGTGGCTACATGGAAGGTGATGCCACCAGTTAACAAAGAAATAACAGACTGAGGAAAGGATGGAAGAGTTGTGCCTATTTTGCTTTTCAGTGAAATTGATCAGAAAGAATACCAATAATCTATGGGCATTGTGTTGCTCTACTGCACATCTCTATCACACCTCACTAAAATAACTTTTTCTTCCTGGGCAATGAAACCTTTAAGGCCTTAGGTAAGTTTGCACGCTCTAGAATAAGAGTACATACAAGTGCATTAAGCAACATAGGTGCTAAGTTCATTAGTGATTGGTAGGCAGGTGAGAAAGAGAAATTGGCATCTCAGAAGATTTGTTTCAACCTCATCTGATTTCAGAAAGCGTATATGTCTATGAAATGCAGCCTTGGATTCAGGCAAGGTTTCCCCCACAAGGGAACCTCACAACCTCACAACCTCACATTTCAGAGTTCCTGTAAGGAAGACTTAATGTTAATCATGTGATGTACAGACCTCCTCTTGTCTCTGAAAGACTTTAGACCCTCTAGATTCCCTCTCCAATTAACTTTCCTTGCTATTGTATTTACTGGAAGAAGGTGAATTTTGTATACTGAGCCTAGACAGTAATTTAACACTTTATAGTTTGAGGTATTTTCTTCTTGAAGAACTCCAATGTGAAAGGAATGTGTTTCCATTCCTACAACCCATTTCAGCTGCTCACATTCTGCCTTTAAAGGTACTCTTTCCTTGGTACCACCAAGAGAGAATCTTTTGGGAGTGCAGTTTTCAGCAGGAGTAGTAAGAACTCATTCTTGGCAGTAAATTCTTTCATTCATTGTTTTCTTCAATATCATACTGTTTCAACTTTGCTTTTTCCAGATGTGAAAGAATCACAGAATTTGGAGGCACAGACCCTGAAAAAGCCTCCAAAGATGGACAAATGGATAACAAAAATGAGGACAGAATAAAGCCAGGGCAGAAAAATGTCTCCAGGCTGCTTATGAGGTTTTCCAGGATAGGGACTCAGAAAAGCAGAAGTTCTGCCCAAAAGTCTAAGAAGGTATTGCGGTCTAACATCTCTGTTCAACTGAAAAAATACCCAAAACTCATCAAAATTTCCCCAACAGAGCCTCCTCCTCGTCTTCCCCCACTCAAACTTAAGTTGATAAATGTCAGTAGTGACAACAACCAATACAGAGATGAATACCTTCGGCACACCACCTCAAAGAATAGTCACTCACATCGCAGGTACCTAAAATCCATAAAAGAAAAAATGATAATGAATAGTGCCAAAAGTTCTCATATGATGATTGAGGGAAAAAGCATCCAGGCAGAAGCAAAATCTTGCAATAAATCACAACGTACAAGCAAATTACGTGAACACAGCACAGTGCCAATTCGGAAAGCACCTAAACCCATTATAGATCCAGCACCCTTAAGGCAAAGAACAGCTCCTGTCAACCCTGCATATACAGTTCGAAAGTCACGGGTTCCCAACACTGTCTATACACGACCATATAGGGACAGGGTGATTCACCTACTGGCATTGAAGGACTATAGTGAATCTGAACTGGTTATTCGACTGCAGAAAGACGGTATCAAAGAAAACGATAAAAATTACATTAGAAATATTCTTTATGAGGTAGCTGATTTTAATCATCAAAATTGTTCCTATTCCTTAAAGGACTGTGCTTTCTCAGAGATCCAGAGAGACTGGCCCGGATATAATGAGATAGAAAGGCAGACATTGGAGATGGTGCTCTCTAGAAAAATCGGTGCCTTGTCTAGCCCAGAATCATCTGCCGATTCTTGTAGCTACACTCCATCCTCTCCCGAGGATCAATGTTTCAATTCAGTTCCTGAGGATCCTGAGGATCCTGAGGATCCTGAGAATCAATGTTTCAATTCAGTTCCTGAGGATCAATGTTTCGATTCAGTTCCTGAGGATCAATGTTTCGATTCAGTTTCTGAGGATCAATGTTTCGATTCAGGTCCTGAGGATCAATGTTTCGATTCAGTTCCTGAAGATCAATGTTTCAATTTAGTTGTTACTGATGATTTCATGACAAATGAATTTAGGGTATTTCCCTCAAGATATCCAATACAGTCACCATCACATAGCCACTTAAGTAATGATTCTGAAAGCGATGCAGAAACTGCCGAAGATATTCTTCCGCCACCAACTCCATCTTACGGGCCCACTTCATATTCTCCTGTTTCTGTAAATTCCAATGATGATTTTTGTAACACTCAAAAAGATTCTGAGACTGAAGATGATTATGTGAACGTTACTACTGAAAAGAGTAACAAAGACATTATGTCTGAAATTTGGCCAAAGAAGCACAGTTCTTCATCAGTGTCAGCCTCTCATTCAAGAAAAAGAAAGCTTCTGAAGAGAGTGAAGAGAAAATATTCGAGGTCTGAAGATAAGCCTGTATATAAATGTACCAGATATGAAGCAGATAATGAATATTATGATCTTACCCTAAAGGACAAGCAACCGACAGACTCTGCCAGCCAAGAGGAAACAAAAAGTCCAGAATCATGTGGAAATTTTCAAGAAGAGGATTCTGCTCCCGCAATCACGACTCTTATACGATCTATTTCACCGGATTATATTTGTAACTACTTTCCAATACATTCCTCTAAGCAGCGTCGTCGTTATGTCCGAGAATTTAGAGCAAATTATGATGAATACCACATCTTGTATAACAACATACTGAATTTGTCTAGACAAATTAATGACTTAAAATGGCAAAAGAAATTTGCTACTCCCGGCTCTAAAGAATATCAGCGTATTGCTAAAAAACTCAAATTAGAATATCAGAAGCTAGAGGAAACTAATCCTGGTTGGTTGAAAAACTACTCTAGGTGCTCATATCTTCATAACAAGATGGCTCACATACATAATTTAATCATAGCTTATGATCAGAGCCACCACCCTTCAAAAAAGAAGCGCAAAGTTCGACATGAGTGAATTCAAGCTTACTTAAATTCCCAATAACTTGCTCTAAGTTTCTAAAGGAATGAATCTGGGTCACCTGTGGAAAATTGCAGCATTAAGACAACTGAAACTTCCTTCCGTATGCTTTCTAATTTGTTTTTCTTTTCATTTTCATTTAACTTCTTTTGAAACATTTTTATTTTAATAGTTTTCATTTCCTCTCTTTCTGCAATTTTGAATCTACTTTATTTCATCTCTTTACCACTGGTATTTAATTATTTCTTTTGTTAGAACATCAAGCACCCAGTATTTATGAAATAAACCTGTGCACATTTTAAAAATAAAGAATTCTAATGAGCAAGATGAAATGGTTTGCATAAAGACTTTCTTTTCTGAGTATTCTTAATGTAAACACTTTCCAAAAAGCAAAAGTTGACAAATTTGCATAAAATAGTATGATTGAAGTTGGTCACTTGTCTATGTCTTAGAACACATGTTTTTTAGTCCAATGTGGTAAAGATTTTGAACAGTCATTTAAATTATGTTGTCTTTGCAAAATACTGCCATTAGAATGGGAACAATTTTATTTTTTTTTTGTATTCATTGTCATTTAACTTTTTTGAAACTTTTTTTTATTTTTAGGGAAGGGTCTACAGAGTGTTCAGGGTCTCACTACTAGATCGGACTCATAGTGATCCACCTGTTTACAGCCTCTCAAGAGCTGGGATTATAGGTGCACACCATCAAGCCCAGTTGCAATCACTGTCTCAGTTTGCCCCAGGGGCGAAGCCGGCCGCCCACAGCAGGCCCAGGGATCAAATCCATGGCCCCTGAGCCTGCTTGTAGGTGCTTTAATCTGCTGAGCTATTTGGCCAGCCCCCGAAACTTATTTTTATTTTAATAGTTTTTATTTATTTAACTTTATTCATTTTTCTTATTTTTCATTTAAATTTTCCAAACACAGTTTCCACATCTGCTTGCTTAAAATGTTTTTTCAAAATTTGTTTTCAATGGTAAATATTTGTCTATACCATGTAAAGAACAATTGAATCATACATAAAATGAATAATTTGTATACACTGAGGAGAGTAACATTAAAATGAACATTTCATAACTCGTCACCTAATTTAGGAATTAAAATACAGTACTGTTCATGTTCTTTTTGTGCTCTGCTCAACTGCTTTGTTTCTCTGCACATTATGTAGTGGTGAAAACTTCTCAAGTTTAATTTATTTTTTTATTAGTTTTAATTTTTTTGCCATACTGAGATTGAAGCCAGGGCCTTTGTACTGAGCTACATTGTCAACAATTTTAATTATTTTCTTTGCTTTTTCTTTTTTTGTTTTTAGTTTTCTTCAATTTTGTTAGTACATATTTGCTATATATTGATTACATTCACCATGGAGAGCTGGTTCATGCACCTGCCATATCTGCATTCTTTTTGACCCCTTTTGCGCCCATTTCTACCCTCTCTCTCAGTCTCCTAATCCTTTTCCCTTTTGTAGAAGATCTGTCATCCACTTATCTATTTTTTATTTTGCTCTTTAATTTATTTATAGTTGGTGTTTCTCATATAAGAAAAAAATCAGGCAACATTTAACCTTTTGTGCCTGGTTTATTTTACTCAATATTATGATTGGAAGATGCATCCATTTTCCTCTAAATCATTCCATTTTTTCCTTTGTTATGGTTCAATAGTTAATGCCACATTTTCTTTTGTCACTGATTTATTGATTGACATAAAGGCCATTTCCATGATTTGGCTATTATACGTTATGCTGTTATTAATATGGCAGCACAATAGGTATGCATCGCATCTGTCATGATGTCTTTCCTCTTTCAGAAAGATGCCTAGCAAGGAATAGCTGGTTTAATTTCTACTTTTTGTGCTTTGATAAGCCTCTATAATGATTTTCATAGTGGTTGTAACAGTATGGTAGCAACACGGAAGTGTTCTTTCTCTCTTGGACCTCAGTAGTTCTTGTTATTTGAGTTTTTAATGAAAACCATTCTTTTTAGAATAATATGAAACCTGGGCCATTTTAGTTCACATTTCTCTAATTTCACATTTCTCTAATTTCACAGATGAAGAGTATTCACATGAATACTCTGAGAAGTGTCTTTTAATTTCAGTCACCCATTTTTTGATTATATCATTTATTTGAGAGGGCTAATTTTCTGAGTTGATCATCTACTGTAGATATTAATTCTCTTAAGTGTACCTAGCAAAAATTTTCCCATGCTGTAGCTTGCCTCTTTACTCTGTTGTTTCATTTGCAAAGTAGTTGGGATTTTTTTAATCTTAATTTAATACAATGTCATTTGTTCTTGATGTTACTTGAAGAATTAGTGTTTTGTTGAAGAAGTCCTTTTCTATGCCTACATCTTCATGAATTGTACCTATTTCATTTTCCTATAGATTGTTTATGTTTTGATATTTAGATATTTTCCATTTTGATTTTGTCTTAGTATGTAACTACAAATGTGGGTCTAGATTCAATCATCTCTATGTGAATAACCAACTTCCTCAACACCATTTATTAATGAGGCTATATTCCTATAGTATATGTTATTGGTCCCCTCTCCTGGGGTTGTTTTTACATCATTTATTCTCTTCTGTTGATCTGCATATCTTTTTCTGTGCTTATCATGCTGCTTTTTTCATTCTTCTTGTTGTAATTTAATTTAAACTCTGGGACTGTGATGTCTACTGCTTTGGTCTTCTTGCCCAAGATTGCTTTTGCTCTTCAAAGTTTCTTTTGATTCCACCTACATTTTAAGATTTTTTTCTAGTTTTCTGAAGAATGCTTTTGGTATTTTGATTAGGATTGCATTAAAGCTATATATGCACTTTGGTGGTATGATCACATTGACAATACGGCTTCTCTGTCCAGAGACAGGTAATATCTTACCATTTTATGGTGTCTTCTTCCATCTCCTTTTTCACAGCACTATAGCTTTCTTTATATTTGTCTTTTATTTCTTTGGTTAGATAAATTCCTATATATTTAATTTTATGCTACTATTTTCTTAAGTTATTTCTCAATAGATTCATGATTGCTATAGAGGAACACTTCATTTTTCAGGTTGATTTTTTTTATCCTGCTATGTTGCTGAGTTGCCTTTCTGGTTTACTACTTCTTTATTTTGAAGTATCTTTAAATAACATATTATTAGATTTTTAATCTTTATGAAAATGCAGTCATAATCTATGTAGTCATCTGCAACTTGCTTTGTATAATCAATCCTTTGCTTCTAGGATGTATCTATGATCATGTACCTTCATATTTCATATTCATTTCCTCTTACGTGTTGCTACCTCAGCATGATTTATTCATTCTCTAGTTGGAGATTTATTTGTTTTGTTACTTTATTACAATGCCTCTGAAAATACTTTTTGACTCATATAATTTCTTACATTGTGCTGTTATTTCCATGTTTACTTTAAAAATCCCTTTTTAAAGCCTAATAAGGGCCAGCCAGACAGCTCATTGCATTAAAGCACTTGCTTAGGCAGATGCAGGGAGCAGGGTTTGATCCCCCAGCATGCTGTGCCTGCCCCGCCCCCAAGGAGATTGAGACTGGACATGGTGGCACATGCCTATAATCCCAGTGCTTTGGAGGCTGAAAACAGAAGGATCACTACAAGTCTTATCTGTGTAGTGAGACCCTGCAGACCCTGTACTAAATAAATTAAAAACAAAATAAAGTAACATACAACCTCATAAGATTTTATTATTGTTGTTTTGCATTGTGAACGTTTACTTAGATTTAGATGCATTCCCCATTGCATTTCCCCACTGCCTTATTCATTTATATAGGTCTGATGGCAGTGAAACCCTTGATTTTTTGTGTGCCTATACTTTTAACTGATATTTTGAAGACCATGTTAACTAGTTGTAGAATTTTAAGTTAATGGCTAGTATAAGAACATTTCCACTTTGGTTGCCTCATTTTTGTTAGATAACTAATTTTTTTCTTTATATATTTATTTGGTACAAGGTCTCACTACTTACCTTGGACTTGTGATCCTCCTATCTCAACTTTCTAGGTGCTGGGATTACAGGCATGCATCAGGCTCAGTGCAAGGCTGGCATGGCATGTGGTACAGGGGATCAAATCTGGGTCCTTGTGCTTGCCAGGCAAGCATTTAGACTACTGAGCTATCTTCCCAGCCACTCTGTTAAGTAATTAGACATTGATCTCTTTGCTCTACCTTGATGGTAGTATCATTTTTTTTATTTAATTGTTTTAGAGCTTGTTCTTTGTGTTTAAGTTTTGGTAGTGCTTTAAGTTGTCTGGTGATCATTTTTGTTATTTATTATGCTTGGGATTCAGAGTTTCTGAATTCTAATTTGAAGCAGGCATTAAGCTTGGAAATTCCTCACTAAAACTTATGATTTTTTAAAAATTTTATTTATTTATGTATGTGTGTGTGTGTGTGTGTGTGTGTGTGTGTGTGTGTGTGTGTGTAGCCAGCTCAGCCCACCAGGGGGCGGGGATGGCTGGCATGTGGTGCTGGGGGATTGAACCGCGGTCCCTGTGCTTTGCTAAGCTTGTTCTAAGTAGGTGCTTTAGACCACTGAGCCATCTTACCAGCCCTGAATTTTTTTATTTCCATTGTCTCTTATTTTTTCCATCGATTTCCTTCTGTGCCTCATGAACATTTTTGTTTTCTTTTTTCTCTCCATGTGTTCATCTTTATATTCCTACTAACTTATACTATAGTCTACCTCTCTTATCATTACTTTCTCTGCAATCAACCCTGTAACTGGTCATCAGAGAAGTTATGCTTCTTCTTAGATAACATTGTAGTAACTCTGACTAAGAGACATCAGATGGGAAGTGAAAATACTGAACTATAAGGACGGTTGAAAATATCAATAAATATCATCATGCCAAAGAAATATTGTTTGAATCATTGCCTGATTCACTAATTTTATTTTAATTATCCCCATAAATATAATTTTTAAAATATAAAAATGATTTGAAATAATTAAAATGAAAAATAATAAGTGGATAACAGTAAAATC